GGAAATTTAGCTACAATAAAAAATACAGGCGAAGCCGATTTCAAAGAAAACTACTTAAGTGATGGAGATGTGTTGGCTATTTCTAAGAAGAGTTCAAATTTGACGATGATTGGATTTTGGATATAGCTTGTTTTTTTCATATGTGTCCAATCAAAATTTGTTTTCAACTTACAAAATTTTTTCGACAAGTGTCGTATTCAATTGCTAGGAACAGAATCAATAAAAATAGGTACAAAAATGCTAATTTTGTTGTGCGTGCTTTAAGTGTATTTGAAAGTATTAAGTCTAACAATGGGCATTCTACAAAAACATTTGGTGTTGATTCTATTACACGGTGTGTTTCAGCCATATTTGGTAAATTTTAAATTATTTGTAATTTTTGGTTGAACTCGAGGTAATGCTACAAAGGAGTGTTTGGATTCATTTATCCTAGTTGGAGATAGTGAAAATGGTTTGGTTCATTGGAGAAGTTAGTTTGGCTCATGTTGAAGAGTTCAATTCATTCTGTGTCAAATTTTTTCTCCAGAAAGTTTGGAGCTTTGTTCGTTGCAATGAAATTTGTGTCAAAGTGGAGATTATTAAGTTTATGATCCAAATTCGGTTGGATTATTTTTTGAAAATATTTTTCCTTTATTCCATGCATTTTTTATTGAAAAAATATTGTTTCCCTTATTTCACGCCTTTTTATATTATTTTAATATTTAAAAATATTATTAGGGTTTTGATATGTATATATAGTTGACTCTTCTTTACAAGTTGATTTATTACAGGAGTTAGAATAATTGTGAGAAATGCAATTGTTGTATTCTTTCTTCATTGTAGTTTAATAAAATCTTCAAATCTTTTGTCAAATTAAATTATTGTCTTTGTTTTCATCTTATAATGTCAATATTGCAATCTAACAAGTATTAGGATTATAAGGTACCGTTAGAAATAAAGGAAACGATAGAGAACGGAGAATTGAATTTTAAATTAATTTGCTCTCCTTCCCCTTTTCTCTTTCAATTCATTTCAATAACGGACTTTCTCTCTTCCCTATAAATTTAAAAAATATATATATAATAATAAATAAATTGATTTTCATGTAAATTTCAAAATTCGAAACGTTTTTGTTGATCCCATTAATTACGGGGATGGACATATTCATAGTTTGATCATTTAATTTGCAGTACTCATTGACCTAGCATTCAACCATGATCACGTATAAATTATTATTATTATTATTATTATTATTATTATTATTATTATTATTATTATTATTATTATTATTATTATTATTATTATTATTATTGCATAATTTAGTGTCATTTTTTTTATAGAAGTCAAAAAGTAGATTTAGAGAACTTCAACAATTGGTTGTTGTTGTCGTTTTCTCTTGTACTAGTTTCTTTTTCGGATTTGTACTTCTTATTCGGTCTTAATTCCACTATGCTGATTTGATTTAGCTCGTTTGATGGAATTTATTTCAAAACTTTTTTTCATTAAATCCAAAAGTTTTATCACTTATTCAAAATTTACTTTAAGTATTTATCAAAAGCCTTATTAAAAAGCCCCTCAGTTAGAAAACTTGGTTGGATGAGCAGCTAATAAATATTTTATTTGTAGCATGAGTCGAAAGAAAGGCGGTACCTTCATATGGTACCTCATATGCAAAAACACACAGACATTGAAATCCAACAAATTAATTGAAACAATTGTTACTGTGATGTAGGACATAATGAATACATTGAAAAAAGATTATTAGTAAAAATAGATCACCTTCTTGATTCTGGATCGATCCCATAAAATCATTTTGGAAGGAGAATGTCGAGGGGAACAACACTCACCGCTACGCTGTGACGTACAATGAATTTCGGCCGTTCGAGTTCGTTTAGGCCTTGAAACTAATTTTTAAAGTTTTGGCACTATTTTTGTCAATTCGTTTTTTTCGTTTTTTTTACAATTCTAATTTGTTTAAACTTTTTTTTCATTACTTTTAATCGTTCTAAACTACGTTTCCATGTAAACCCTTATAAATAAGGGCTTAGTTCGTTTTTTTTATTATTGCTCATTAATAAATTCGTAAAATTATTTTTCTTTATTATTTGGAGGATTCCAAATTTCTTGTTCTTTATATTTTCGCTTGAATTCTTTTCTTTCGCTGCGTCATGATGATGATGATGCTGCTTCTGTTGCTATGGATCACAACACACAGTGTAACGGAGTCCAGAGAAACTGTATACTTTCAAAGCAGTTTTTTGAATGCAGAAAGCTGTTTTTTTGGCATTCAACCTTGGATGTGATAGTTTTCATTTGTTTTACGAAAAGTGATACCCATCTTTTTCACCAACAAGCATTTAGGGTTTCTTTTTGCAAGATCTCTCTCCATCTCTAGATTTCTCTCTCTTGTTCTAATTAAATGAAAAAAAACAAAACAAAACGAAACGGAGAAAATCTAGTGAATTGATTTGTTGATTATATTGAAAATAATGTAAGGACAAAAGCATACATAAATGAAATTGGAATATATATCTGTTGTCTGCTCTCACGGACAACTACGCATATCTGTATCTGTATGTGTCCGAGAGAGAGAAGAGCCTGAGTGGTCAAATCACCCAAATTGTAAGCTTTATTGCTTTTGTTCTAATCTGCCTTCTGTATATCTTGCATTATTTTGTAAACTTTTTCAGTATCGACACAAGTTTTTTCTGTATTCTTGTTTCATTTCAGAAATTAATGGAAAGTGAAAATAAAATAAAATAATAAGGTCAAAAAAATATGGTTTAGACATGAAAAGATGCTGTTCAATGTAAAGAGGTCTCTGTAATGTCAGTGCTGAACGCGGCAATTGTAAGTGATGTCGAAGCAGAGGCACTACTTTTCTACCCGGGGATAGCAATCCGATGCTTTAGTCCACTCAGCCATCTCTCCTCATGGAGAGTTCGATCTGGCTTAGGATGAACGCTGGCACTAGCCAACCTTGACCCGTGTTATTTTAAGGTCACACGAATCGCTCCATCTATCCTCTTGAGGAGAGGGAAACCTCTGGTAAAATGCCCCCACATAACCCAGCAGATTACCCCTAGATGTCCCGTCCTAAACATGGAAAAATGCTTTTGGATATATTAATGAAATGACTAGGAAATTATGGCCTTTATGGTAATAATTTTATACAGTAACCTTCAAATAGTGAATTTGAAAGTGATCAGAAGGAGCCGGAGAGACACCAACTCTTTGTATGGTCACGATAGTGCATGAAGTATAATTTCTTTATCTTTTATTGTACTTTCCATCAAGAGATTCACTTTGTAATGTCAACCTAACATGTAATGAAATAGATATTCTCTATTCACACCCTCTCATGAGATACGCACTTAATAGAATCGGACAAATTTGGCGCAAAACAAAGCACAGAAGCAAATGGTGTGAAGATTAATTAATAAGTCAACTATTTAAATATCAACTCAGAAAAGTAAGTCAATTGACTTATAAATGATTCTAGAGATTTAACAAATGCATGAACATTAATCTACAATGTACGTAGTAAGGTTACTTAGAAAGTTATTCATTTCTTCTTTCAATTCACTAAAATTCAGAGTCGACTCAAACATTAGGCAAATTGAACGGCAATTAAGAGCTCTCGATTCGTGGAAGGATTTCGAAATTTTGAAATTTACATTTTTTTTTTCTCTTATGTTTGTCTTTTTATTAATTTATATTTTTTGTTGAAAAAATGAAGCAAAACATAGCCCAAACCAAAACAACATTCAAGATTTTTCTTCCTCTTCTCCATTTTTCCTTTTTTTTTCCTAATATTAAAAACTCAAAAGATGGTTGGACATCTGATAATGAAATCTCTAAAACATTTAATTTTCAAAATTGATAAATAAATCACTACAATAACGAAATATAAAAATTAAATATTAATTAAAAATTCCGTTAGAACTAAATAACAGCTAGAAGAATAACTTATAAATCTATAATAGTATAACGAAATAATAAAAATATCTGAACTTATAAATATAAAATATGAAAAAAAAAAAAAAATTTGTTCGTAGTAGTTACGCTTCATGTTGGTCCAAACAATATCAATGATTAAGTCAGTAATCGCCGATGAAGGAGCATTGATGGCCACTTAAGGTCTCAGTGTCAATAATTCCTTCTTAATTAAATAATTTTGATTTCAAATAGAAACACCAATAACTATATCATCGACGATCAACGATATAATTTTCATACTCCCTCATTGTTTGCTCCATTAATAATTTTATTTTTTCTAAATAATATCTCTTTGACGACTTTGTCTAAAGCTCCAAACTATTTAAGCCATCTCTACTTAAACCTTGTCCTTTTTTCCTTAATCAGCTTGATTAAAGAAACTCCTTTCCTCAATCTCCCAACACAAAAAAAAGGGGAAAAAATTTCCAATTAATTCGAATAAAATAAAATAAAAGGATGATGGGTTTGGAATCTGATGAAGGAGCTAGAGCACTAGACATAACAAAAGTAAGTACAGAGGATAGGTGCCCGCCATTTAAGGCTTTATTATCCCTATACTAAGGTCACCATTAGGAAATTGGGAACCGGGAAAAAATAAAAAAGGCTTACACTTACACCCCTCTTAACTATGACAACTACAGCTGAATGTTACATAGCTAATCGCCCCCATGCACACGTCCTTTTCTCACTCTTCTTCCCACTTCTGCCGCCACCCACCCTCCTTTCCTCCCCACACACAAATCATCGGGAATGGCAACCATACCCAATGTCCAAGAGTGTGTCTGTATACACATGCTAGTCGTGCTACGGTATATAGAGATTTTTACTAGATAGATTGATAGGTTGTCAATTGATACAATTTTATTGAATGTTGGATAAAAACAATTTCAAACCAGTTAATTCAATATTGTCACCTCATCATCCGTAAAAATCTCTATACATTTCATTTGTTCAAGGAAATTAATTCATATACAGACAAACCTTTCTATACATGTATGTTTACATGCATAGGCACCCCAATTCCCTCTCTTACTCTTCCTCGACTTGTTTGTCTTTGATATTTAAATAATACATTCGGAGAATCAGATCCAAGGTGGTTAATCTGTCAATCTCATCCATATATAAATACCTCGATCAGTCAATCTATCAATCAATCAAATCAGACGGAGGGAATCGTCATCAAAAAGAAAGTTTAAAGAAAAAATATGTCTTCTTCGTCTGCTTTTACACCGGACCACCACCACCTCTCTCCTTCGGAGCAGCTATGTTACGTCCATTGCAACTTTTGTGATACTGTCCTCGCGGTATATCACTTGTCATCCTCTGTCTATGATCAATTATCTCTCTCTTTTCACACTTCTATTAGTTGTTTATGTCCAGTTCTATCAACCCTTTTTTTTTGCTCGATGTTCTTATAAATGTATTTTTGTGCTCTATGAGTGAGATTTTAACTTATTTTTGTGCTTTGCTTAATTAATTAGGTAAGTGTTCCTTGCACGATTTTGTTCAAGACTGTGACAGTGCGATGCGGCCATTGCACCAACCTTCTGTCCGTGAACATGCGTGGACTGCTTCTTCCCAATTCAAATCAGCTTCATTTCGGACAGTCATTCTTCTCTCCTCAAAATCTTCTGGTATATGGTCTGAAATTGATAGGTTTTCCATACCATAGTGTACTTTTAATTATTAAGCATCTTAATTTTGATCTTTTACAGATTTAAGGTTTAAATTTTGCATAGTACTTTGTTGGAATTTTATCGTAGAATTATTAATCATTTTATCTTGGAAAATCAAGCTACGTATCGTTAATTATTCACTTTTATGTATTTTGCAATAATTGATAAGTTCATTTTTAGGAGGAGATTCGGAACTCGCCATCCAACATGTTGATTAATCAGCCCAATCCGAACGAGTCTCTGAATCCAGTTCGAGGAATAGATGAGCTTCCAAAGCCTCCAGTTGCTAACAGACGTGAGATTATGAAAACTAATTTTACTCTCCCCCTTATTAAATTCGACAAGTACTGGATCTCTAATAGTTAAATCCGAATATGTTGAAATTTACCACTAGGGTTCATGTCTTTTTCCTTTGTTTTTACCCTTTGAAAGTGTGGAATCTTTTAAGTCACAGTCAAAACTTTCAGCTATACAGTACTTTGTCAACTAATCAAGAAACTGAGAAAGAATAGCTAAGAACTTTGAAACTTAAACTTTCTATTTTTATTCTTTAACAATCTTGAACTTCACTTTCTTATTTTTTCTTATAAAGATTTTGCTTCCTTTCTTCAATGATTTCCAAGCTCACATATCCCATGGTTTATGAAAGCCTCCTTTAGACGTGCAGCTAAAGCATGGCAGTACATTCATCAACAGTTGCTTCTCCTCCACATAAAAACCTGTAGCTTTTTCCAAATCTTGTCAAACGCTAAAATTTGATAGACAATTTCCCTTTCGCTTCGTATAAGTTCATTTATATTTCCACAAGGTTGTCTAACAAAATTTCTCCCCCGGGAAATCAAGATAATGTGGGAACAGAAGAATCCAAGATGAGAAATAGAAAGATAGATCATTAGATAATGATGAAGTAATGAGAGATAGAGGGACATTGAATGCAGTAATCTACAGGTCAGCCAAGTTAATGTCTTCTTTTGTTTGTTTGTATTTCTGTCATGTTCAGCCCCAGAGAAGCGACAGAGAGTGCCATCTGCTTACAACCGGTTTATCAAGTAAGCAAAATATAATGCAATTATAAGTGCAAATACACCCAAAACACCCCTTCCCCCACCCCAATCTACTGACCCAACTTGGGTATTTCAGTAGGGCGGTGGGGAGGGGTTATTAATAGTTACGGCTTTATTATTACTTTAACAGTTTCTTTTCTGGTAAGTTCTGAACAACATTATTTTACAATTTCTATAGGAATTAACAAAGGCATTCGCCTATAAACAAATCTCAGAAGCATCTAAGAATGATTTTGACTCGTATCATGAAATTGCAGGGACGAGATCCAACGTATCAAAGCTGGAAACCCGGATATAAGCCATAGGGAAGCCTTCAGCGCTGCTGCAAAGAATGTAAGATCCAAGATAAAAAAAACAATACCCTCTATGTCTTAGGGGTTTCTTTTCTTTAACTAGGGTTTCATTTGAGTCATGACGTTTATATTTTTTGACAGAAAAAGGTTTATGTTTCTTGTTTTTGCTTTCATTTGTTTCCTTGCTCACAGTGGGCCCACTTCCCACACATTCACTTTGGACTTATGCCTGATCAACCCGTGAAGAAACTTAACATGTGCCAACAGGTATCTCAAAACCCTAGATGTATTTGATCTAATTTTTGCCCCTCAGTACTTATGTATTTGATCTAATTTTTGCCCCTCAGTACTTATATGATACTTTAAAATGTGTTATTAACGCAGAAAATTCGCTAATTCTTCAAGATCTAATAGCATGTATGATAGGGAAAATGAGTTAAAATGAAAGTAAATAAGTTAATCCACACCACCACCACCACCCACAAATCTCCACCGCGCGACACTACCATCGTCACCACCACTTATATGCGAAGGGCATTGTCCCTTTGAGGTTGCAATTATTTTTATGCTTGAATGAAAATCATAAACCATAGTCATGTACTATTGTGCAGGAAGGAGAGGATGTTCTGATGAAAGATGGGTTTCTTGCTCCTGCCAATGTGGGTGTATCTCCCTATTGAGAAAGTTATCTTTAGTTTCTGCAATTAGTGTTTAATGTTATGCTTTCTTTCAAGGAGACTGTTTTTATAGTTTATTAGTTTCAAAAAGACAAAAACGTGGTGGGAGAGGATTTTGATGTCGTTGGTTGCATGCTAATGCAACTACTAATCTTTGTGGAACTCATCTCACAATGAACTTTGCATATATTAATATTTCTCACGGATTATGCTATTAAATCAACGTTTCTATTTCCATCCATTCATGATTTAGCTTATAATTTAAATCCCATCAATTAAAATTTCGAGCTTGTGGCGTTTCCTAAATTTTAATAAGTAGTAATGAAATTAAATTTAAGGAATTCTGACAAGAGATGGACTTCAATACGGTTTTATTTTCAAATGAGGCTATGAATATATAAAACAATTTTCTTTACTTTGTTTTTCTGACATTCTAAGTTTCTCATGCAATGTATTGCTAATATGTGTTATTAAGCTCACTGTCCAAGAAAATCTCGAGCTACATCTATTATATCTAATAATCAGAATTTCATTGAGAAAAGTATCAAAATGCTATGGCACATGTTGACCTCGTTTTTTGTCAGAGTGACGTGGACAATAGATGCTGAGCTCACATGTTCACGCTAGCAAATTCCAAAATGTTTTTCCATCGGAGGGTTTGGCTGAAGGAGGTCACTATTTCATGCATGCGGGAGATGCTCTATTATATGAGATAAAGATGTTCATGCTCCAGCAATAATTTTAAGGACGATTGCATATTAATAATCAATCACGAACAACTCAACTAAAGTAAGATAATCATATACTCAAGCAAATAAGCGCGTACAAAAGCAAGAGAAAGAACAAAGAATAGCTATAAGTGTAAAGAGTTGCATTAGATTCAAGTGTTTACAAGAGTTGGTATTTATAGAATTCTAGCCAAAGTGGTGACCATTGGATGAAGGAGCACGTGGCTCCATCTCCCAGGTCGAAACATCATATCACTAGCTTGCTATACATTTAATATATTGAAAATGGGTTAGCCACTCTACAAACTAGTCTGATAGGCTTAACGCATTCATTATTACAAACGTCATATCAATCACTCCTATAGATTGCCTGCAGATCTCGTAAGAGCTAGTGAAAGCTTCAGTTGGTCAAAGAAGGCTCAGAATGGAGAGCCTCGGAAGCTTTCCTTTTGATTTCGACACTCTTGTTTTCCACCTTTAGGACATGGGGTTACTAAGCCTCGGTGGCGACGCGTAACAGTATAGTCAAATTTCAATGTAGGGTTTCTCTGCAGAAATTATTCTGTCACAAATGGTATTACGAGTCAGCTTAAGTATCATTCAAAGATTTAGTGAAGCAGGATCACATATTACACTGCCACGGCAGTTTTGGATTTCATAAAACGTTCAGGAGAGAGAGGATTTATCAGGTTCATAATTCACTTCTCATGAAATGCAAAGTTGAGGGAATTTCCAAATAAGTAATTACAAAGACATAAACTGAGCTTTGAATGAATTAAGAGAAAGCTCTTATGAGATTTGTACATTTTGTAATATAACTTTCAGTTAGTTGAAATGAAATTAAGAGAAAAGTATTAGGATTGACTTCTCATTGTACAACATAGAGTAGAAATTTGATTTGTAATTATGTCCCGTTTAACAGGGAACGAAATTTTTTTCCAATGTGTTATTCAAGTGGTCAATATTACGAAATGATTTAATATCGAAATTATAATTACATATAAGGATTATGGCAACTCCTTTTATCAAAGTTATCTTCTACGCTGGAAACTCAAATCTAATTAATATGGTATCAAAGCTACTAGCAATTTGATTCTTCTAAAAAATGTGCAAGCGAGAGTTATCGAATCTTAATTTGAACTACTACTCTTAACAATTTGAACTACTACTCATATTATAATAAAATATTAATTCATAAGGCCAAACAAGCTTGAATGAGTAAATCGATTGGTCTAAAAATCTTAAATGAGCAATCATATTTAAGATCGATATTTTCAAATGTGCCATTATCAACAGTTAAGAGTAAGTTCATACCATAACCAGCATGTACGGGTAAAAATAAAATCCGAAATCTTAATAATTAGTTAAGTAATGCTATTTAATCGGTTGCAACTTCAGTTTAAGTGGCAATAATATAACATTAATTTATAGATAAAATTAAATAACTCATTTAATTTCACTTTTCATTTAATTTATCATCTAATGCCATCTAAACTGAGATTACAACTCCAGGGGAATTACATAACATTTTTCTAATTAGTTTGTTCCCACTTTCTAAGAGAAATAGGTAGCCGACCTCTTTTGAGGTATTGGGTACTGTAAAAGATGTTGGATGATTTTAAAATATTTCATATAGAGGGAAAATTCTTTATTTTCGCAGTTTTTATTTTATTTTTCAAATTTTGGAGTATTCTAAGTAAGTTCTTGTATTTTTTAATTTTTTTTTAATTTTTATCATTCTCAATTTTTTTTCTCAATTTTTTTTTTTAAATATTCTCTAAGGACATTGAGAGTTGAATTCAAAATAAGGAGTGAATTATCCAAATAATCACTGAACTTTGCAAAAGGTTTTCAAGGGGTCAGTGAACTTTAAAAATCACTTAAATGGTCACTTAACTTTGCAAAATATTTTTCAGAATCACTGAATTTTAAAAATCACCTAAATGGTCACTGAACTTTGCAAGAGATTTTCTAGAAGTCACTGAACTTTCCAACCTCTAAACCACCTTAGAACCACCACTTATGGACCACCAAAATCCACCCTCCGACCACCTTGGCCGCCGGACCAACATATCACCTTGAAACCCTCGCTTCCCTCTTCGCAACCTACCCAAGTTCCGGCCATAACGCCAACCGATTTGGCCGAAAATTCAAGCCAAAATGGGTTGACCAAGCACAAAAATGGGGTTGGAAGTGAACGAGTCACCAGTTTTGGACCACCAAAACTCCACTCTCGGGCCACCTTGGCTGCCGGACTGACATACCACCTTGACAACACACCCAAGTTCCGGACCCATTTTGTCTTGAATTTCCGACCAAATCGGTTGGCGTTATGGCCGGAACTTGGGTGGGTTGCGAAGAGGGAAGCGAGGACTTCAAAGGTGGTATGTTGGTCCGGCGGCCAAGGTGGCTGGAGGGTGGATTTTGGTCGTTCATAAGTGGTGGTTCTAAAGTGTTTTAGGGGTTGGAAAGTTCAGTGACTGAGAAATTTTTTACGAAGTTCAGTGACCATTTAAGTGATTTTTAAAGTTCAGTGACTTTTGAAAAACCTTTTACAAAGTTAAATGACTTCTGGAAAACTTTTTGCAAAATTCAATGACTTCTAGGAAATCTTTTGCAACGTTCAGTGACCATTTAGGTTGTTTTTAAAGTTCAGTGACCCCTTAGAAACCTTTTGCAAAGTTCAGTGACCATTTGGACAATTCACTCCAAAATAAGACTCAACACATATTTGAATAGTTTTATGGGGTTTGATTAATATATTGGTTTAAGCTTAGTGTTGATTCATAATATTATATTTTCGTAAATTTGTCCTCACAAGCTTCTCTAAATGTTGTATTTCTGCGATGTAAAATATTTTGTTCATATTTTTCGGCTTAAAAAATTCATTGATCAAGATGATGAGCCATGAAACTGTTCAACGCCAAAACTGAGTACCATAAATAATATAATTCAGTACATAAAGTTCTAAATTTGAACAAGTAGAAGTTCTAATTTGAAGTCTTATTGTTACTATTTTGTGAAAACTATTTAGGAAATAGCCATGAATACGTAGAATTCTTGATGGAATTCCTACCGACGCCAACGTGGCCGTAGATGATTGGATTGTTTTTTGTTTTCTATTTCCATCTTCCAATCAATTTCCGTCATGTGTTGTTTGTCAAAATTTTCTGCACTTGTAGGATGATTGAACTATTTATTTCTTAAACTTTTAATGAAAATGTGAATTTGACTTCTTTCCCCAAGAAAGAAAAAAGGGATTTACTACACACGAGGGCAGGGAGTATGGAGATGAGAAAATGAGAAAAAAGAAGCTTTAAGTTTTATTTTTATTGAAAATGAATATCTTCACAAATTTCTTGCTTTCAAATGTTAGTGCGATATAGTTATGCCCAAAATATTTATATGGTCTCATCAATCGATGAAGATGGCCCAAAGAACATGAAGAAATTTAGAAGTAGGGATGGGCAAATCTCTCGAATCGAACTGAACTGAACCTGACGGTTCTTATCAAATTAAATACCCGAATAGGTATCTGAATTGAGAACCGACGGGTACGGTTCGGTTCTCGGTTCTAGACTAAGAATCGAAGAATCGAATCTTTCTAATTTTTTTTATATTGAGTAAATCAAATTATTTTAATTTTAATTTTTTCTAAACAAATTAATGATTTCTAAATCCAATTTTTTGGCTTAATAATTTGTTTCATTTCTAATTTTTTAATTTTTTGCCCAATTACCCATTTTATTGTTTCATTTTTTAGCCAAACAAGATCAAATCTACTAAATAACCCTAAACACCTACACTAAAGTGCATAACGTTGTCTCGACTCTCGCACTCAATCTCCCAGCCTCGCTAATATTCCAAAACCTATACAATCAACAGCTGACACTATGACCTCCGATCGAAGCTGTGACCTCCGCTGACCGAAACTTTGATCGTAGTGATCATTTGAACAAGGTAGTTTACTAGTCTCTGACATTCCAAAACCATTAAATGTATTTAGGGCTGGATATAACTCCCAAACCGAACCGACCGAGCCTGAACCCGAACCGAACAGAACCGAACTCGACGGTTCTTCTCAAGTTAAATACTCGAACAGGTATTTGAATCAGGAACCGACGGGTATGGTTCGGTTCTCGGTTCTAGGTCAAGATCCGAAGAATCGAATAAGAACCTAATCTTCGTAATTTTTTTAATTAATTTATTTTAAATAAATAAATTATTTTATTTTTTCTAAATAAATTTGTTAACTAGTTAATTTAGTTCAAACCACAAAATATGATTTTCCTATTTCTAATATTCAGTTCAAAATCGACTTAATCAAATTGACCTCAATTTTATCCAAATCTGTTATTCTACTGTAGTGTCGTTTCTACCGGAGAAAATCAAATTAAAACCCTACAACATCTCTCTTAATTATTTTGAGCTCATTATCTTTCTCTTTCTGTGATTTTAATAATCAAATTTATGAAGAATTCAGCAAAGAGA